TCCATCAGTCCAGACCTTTTCAAGAATTAGTGTATGGGACAGTGACAGGATTCCTAAACTAGCTTTCTCCTTTTCAGCACTTCAGATACATTGGACCAGTGTTTCTCAACCTTAGTAACCTTAAGGTTTGTGGAGTTACGTCACATAACGTCAACCTTAGCAACTTTAAGCTAGGTTGAGAAACACTGGTCCAATGTATCTGAAGTGCTGAAAAGGAGAAAGCTAGTTTAGGAATCCTGTCACTGTCCCATACACTAATTCTTGAAAAGGTCTGGACTGATGGAGGATCTTGATTCCACTAGTAGAAACCTTCAGCGGGGCAGCAGTGAATCCATAAAAGGTGATCTAGGATTGAATTGTATATATGGATTTGGGTGACTCAGACCACAGCCTGTTTACTAATCAGTCAAATCAACAGGAGGCCTTTTGCTAATTCAGAAATAGTTTATTTAGCATATTAAAAAAAAAAAAGATCTACAGTTTGATATCATTCTACTTGTCCCCGCCAAACCCTGTTTATTGCCTTTAGCTTTCTAACACCCTGAATCTTGATTAAAAACACAATCTTCTTTGCATATCCTACGGTTGCATGGTTTCTGTTACCCTAGACCTTCCCAGATAATTGTGTTCAAAGAGAACACAGGGAACGGTGATCATTGGTGAAGTGTTAACCCTTGAAGTGTGCAAAAAAATCTTAAATTCAAAAGGGGCTGTTTGGATGTGATTGGAACTGTCCTGAGGGGGAAGTGAGGCTTTTTGGAGCTTGGAACTTGCATGGGTTCAAATTCAAAACAGCCTTCAAGCGCATGACAACCGTTCCTACAGCATGGCCGTCTCCAGAAGTTAAATGTAGGGGGAACCAAAATTGTAATATATATCTATTTTTTAAATCAGCATCAGGACTTAAAAGTGGCGCCCTCTGCTCATTATCATGGAACAGTTTCTGCTTCTGTGTCCTCTATAGGTTGGAACCGAATCTGGCACCTAGCAAGGAATGTAGTTTCCGAGACCCTCATCGTTTTTTTTTTAAATACCATTCAAGGTCCTCATGATGAAGACCTTGTCCATTTTCTCAAAAGGGGCTGAGGAAAGATTCTAGCAATCAGAAGATGGAATTGAAGGTACTTTTCTAGCTCTGATCCAAAACAGAGTAAGGATGCTGAGTTTTGCATCATTTATTCGGGTACTAGAATCAGAATGAGCCTCGTGCAAAAATAGCCCCCCTCCCTAATTTTTAACGTGGGATGGTCATTTAAATTACTATGGCATTACCTGCACTTTTCCAACCCTGTCCGCCCTGTATTGACTGTGTATCAGTGGCGCTGCAGTGCTCAGCTTGCTGTGGGTTGCAAAAATGTTCTGTAAAGGTTTTGCGGCCTGAATGCTTCACACTTAGGACGTACTGCTCTTACACAATGTCATGGGCTGCCAATAAGCGTATCCATGATTTGCAGAACTATGATGATGTGAATGAAGCTAATCGCCTGAGCAATGTGATACTCTAAACCAGTGTTTTTCAAACTTGGCCACTTTAAGATGTGTGGACTTTAACTCCCAGAATTGAAGTCCACACATCTTAAAGCCACCAAGATTGAGAAACACTGCACTAAACCATAAACTTCACACTATTAACTTGGCTAAAATGGGGCTAGCTGAGTTGCAGTCTTGGCGTATTGCTCAAAAACAACCCCAGAGAATTTTGTTTAATCCAGTTATGATCATTTGGAGGAGTTCAAATGGGGGAACCCCCCCCCCTTCCGAAAGAATCAATCTTAATTGGGTGGATGGAAAGAAACGGACTTTTCCTCTGAATCTCGCAGGGAAACCCAGTGGGTTGACCTAACCCCCTCACCCATCTGCATGTATTCTTGGTCACGTCAAGCAATGAGGCTGTTTTAGGGCTCTATCGTAATTATACCCTTTGGCCTCCCTCCCATTTCTCTCTCCCCCCCCAATAGTCGGCTTGTCAATGGATTCTGGGAACAATTTTGAGTGGTCCTCAAAGTATTAACCCATGATCGCTTTTAGATTTTTAAAAAAAAACCCAGAAAAAGTCTAGCTCTGATTATATACGAGGAAAAACAAATGTTGAATGAGACCTCCACCATGGGACTGAAGCGAAAATGAAATAAAGATTCTGGGTTGGCTCTGACAGTTATGCTGCTGTGTGTGTTTTATAGCTGCGTGAGAATTAGAAATAGAGGTGACGCACCTTCACCACTTCACCAGATCCTTATTTCTAAATGGAGGGGCTAGGAAGTAGCCCCCCTGCCATAAAGCAACTGCGAAGCTCTTTATCCCCCCACAGAAATGCATTTGGATTCGCTTCCTACAAGGGTGAGATTCTGCAATGCCACTGTGAAGGGGGGCTTGGTCAGTTCAGGTGACGGTGGTATTAATGCAAAAGTGCAAAACAGAATCTGTTGCGACCGATCAACAGTTTTGCTCCAAAGACGTGAAGGCGAGGGCAGAAACATTTGCAAAGCTCCTCATTTTTTTTTTCCCTGAATTTTGGGGAACAACCCCCTTCCACTTTTTTTCCTGTTGCCCCTTAACATTCACATTTCTAGTTACAATGCTAAGCGATCGTCCGCCGTGCACCCAAGGCGGTTCAGGCAAATGAAAGTCGAATGGGAACATTTCCACGGCAGCTTCAGTCTCATCCAGAGAGATGGGAGGAATTTGCCCCGAAGCAACCAGCAGTCCGTTCCCAAAGCCCTCATCTGTGCGTTGAAGCCTGGATGCTGCTACAAGGTTGGTGAGAGTGATAATTAAACAACAACAAAAAAAGATTAGCATAGGTTTCAGCTGTTTAGTTGCCGTCACCGTGTTGGAGAATTCAGAGCAAGACGCAAGGCACTGTTTCTCCTGGCCATCGCGCTAGAGGCACTATAAATAAGCCGCCCAAAATAGATCTCCTCCCGAATCCATTTTTAAAGTGACCCACTTCCAGGACTTTTTGCCTTCGCGGCAGTTCCAAAAGAGCTTCCTTCTACAAAAGCTTGAGCTGTGAAATAGGAAGCTTGGCAGGAGGAAGAAGGGGGAAAAAAAATAACAATGAAAAAAATGCCCTTTGAATCAGGTGTGCCTGGAACAATATCAATCGGTCCTTAGGGGTGTATTTCTTCTAATGGCCCAGATCCTTTCTGTTCCTTTTTTTGGGGGGGGGGCAGACTTAAAAGGAAGCATTTGTGACGTGACGTTCACCCACGAGTCAGAAGAAGTCAACGCTGCAGGGCCGACAGCCGGTCCACGGTGCTGTGCTGGAGGGATCACAATTGGCTACCCGGATCCAGATTGTGAGTCCCATTGCCTGCAGGAAGAATCTCGCGTGCAAATTCTGGTCCGATGGGCACCCAGGCGCCAACACAGCAGCGCGAGGCCGGGAGGACTGGTGGGTGGGCGCCATCCGCCCCGTGAGGGCTTCCGCGTTTCTGCGCTCGGCTCGTCGGAGCAAGCGGCGGTTCTGGGTTTGGGTCACAGGTGCTGCAAAGCTTCCAAACCTTGCTCGGTGTAGACGTCGTCTTTGTTCCTGTCAGCCCACTCGCCAAAGGAACCGTGGAAGGAGGCGTTCCTCTGGGTCGCCTGCATCCGTCTCTTGTCGCGGGAGAAGAAGCTAAACCTTGCGCAAAACAAGGAGAGAGCAGGCAGGTTAAACGCTCGAAACGTCCGGGGACGGTTTGCACAGCAAGCTCTTCAACCTGACTTTTTCTGAACAGGGGCGGGGGAAAAACCAGCCTGCCGACCTGAACGAGTGGCACGAAACTCTTGTACCGCTTTCTCCTCTCTGGCTCCTTCCAGATGTGTGAGCTCACCTGGCTGGGGATGATGGGAGATGCAGCAGAACACCTCTGGAAGGCAGCAGGTTGAGGATTTAGTCTAAAGCAGTGTTTCTCAACCTCGGGAACTTTAAGACGGGTGGACTTCAACTCCCAGAATTCCCCAG